AAATGGAGGCTGCCATTGTTTCATAAGTAGTCAGGTTATAAAAAAAGACACATGTCCATCGAGTTCAACTTATAGAGATATGAAAAAAAAAAAAAGTAGAAAGGCAAAAACAGAAAGTTATGCCCCCCAATTACCCCCTGTGTTGATCCAGAGGAAGGCAAAATAACTTTGCTCAAACTGAAAGTTCTCCTTCTCTCCTTCTCTGGCTGTCACACTAGTATATATAATAGTAAATAGTTTTGACTCCCTTTAATGGAGAACAATGTGGATCTTGAGGAACCAATGAGGACTTCTGACTCAGTAGTTGTCTCAGAAGCCATTGTGAGTATTGGATCGGTAAGACAGCCAGGCAAGGAGAGGCCAGTGATTGCTTCCTATGCATACAAGCTCCGTGTAGCTTATTCTTACATGTAGCCCCGGGTGGACTTGTCATTGGAGTAGTTAGGGTAGTCATCATACTCATGGTCTTCATCATCCTCCTCCTCCTGGTATTTAGGGGGTGGGAGCCCTATGAAAAGACACATATGTTACATGTTGTATGTTTGTAACGTTTTAAACTGATGATTTATGTCTTTAGGGCAGGACTACAGAATAACATATATATATTCCTGTACAGTCTACAGAGGGTGGAAATGATGGGAGGAGGAGCACCGACCTGGGGAGATGGGACCAGTGTCACAGCCACATTGGAACGCTGCAACAAGAGGAAACAATGTCACCAATGACAAGGAAGAGATTGTACAAACATTGAAAATGTTATGGAATGTTTCCACCCGACCCGACCAATCCAGTCACATCGTTCATTGTCATGGTGATAGAAGATTGAAAAACATGAAAGTGTCAAATTAAAACATCAGAAGTCTGAGCAGGATATAGTCAGAGCGAGATGAATAGAGTGTCAGCTCCTCTGTACAGAGACTGATGTGACTGTGGGGAGGGGGCATTAGAGTGTAAGCTCCTCTGCACAGAGACTGATGTGACTATGTGGGGGGGCATTAGAGTGTCAGCTCCTCTGTACAGAGGCTGATGTGACTGTGGGGAGGGGGCATTAGAGTGTAAGCTCCTCTGCACAGAGACTGATGTGACTATGTGGGGGGGCATTAGAGTGTCAGCTCCTCTGTACAGAGGCTGATGTGACTGTGGGGAGGGGGCATTAGAGTGTAAGCTCCTCTGCACAGAGACTGATGTGACTATGTGGGGGGGCATTAGAGTGTCAGCTCCTCTGTACAGAGGCTGATGTGACTGTGGGGAGGGGGCATTAGAGTGTAAGCTCCTCTGCACAGAGACTGATGTGACTATGTGGGGGGGCATTAGAGTGTCAGCTCCTCTGTACAGAGGCTGATGTGACTGTGGGGAGGGGGCATTAGAGTGTAAGCTCCTCTGCACAGAGACTGATGTGACTATGTGGGGGGGCATTAGAGTGTCAGCTCCTCTGTACAGAGGCTGATGTGACTGTGGGGAGGGGGCATTAGAGTGTAAGCTCCTCTGCACAGAGACTGATGTGACTATGTGGGGGGGCATTAGAGTGTCAGCTCCTCTGTACAGAGGCTGATGTGACTGTGGGGAGGGGGCATTAGAGTGTAAGCTCCTCTGCACAGAGACTGATGTGACTATGTGGGGGGGCATTAGAGTGTCAGCTCCTCTGTACAGAGGCTGATGTGACTGTGGGGAGGGGGCATTAGAGTGTAAGCTCCTCTGCACAGAGACTGATGTGACTATGTGGGGGGGCATTAGAGTGTCAGCTCCTCTGTACAGAGGCTGATGTGACTGTGGGGAGGGGGCATTAGAGTGTAAGCTCCTCTGCACAGAGACTGATGTGACTATGTGGGGGGGCATTAGAGTGTCAGCTCCTCTGTACAGAGGCTGATGTGACTGTGGGGAGGGGGCATTAGAGTGTAAGCTCCTCTGCACAGAGACTGATGTGACTATGTGGGGGGGCATTAGAGTGTCAGCTCCTCTGTACAGAGGCTGATGTGACTGTGGGGAGGGGGCATTAGAGTGTAAGCTCCTCTGCACAGAGACTGATGTGACTATGTGGGGGGGCATTAGAGTGTCAGCTCCTCTGTACAGAGGCTGATGTGACTGTGGGGAGGGGGCATTAGAGTGTAAGCTCCTCTGCACAGAGACTGATGTGACTATGTGGGGGGGCATTAGAGTGTCAGCTCCTCTGTACAGAGGCTGATGTGACTGTGGGGAGGGGGCATTAGAGTGTAAGCTCCTCTGCACAGAGACTGATGTGACTATGTGGGGGGGCATTAGAGTGTCAGCTCCTCTGTACAGAGGCTGATGTGACTGTGGGGAGGGGGCATTAGAGTGTAAGCTCCTCTGCACAGAGACTGATGTGACTATGTGGGGGGGCATTAGAGTGTCAGCTCCTCTGTACAGAGGCTGATGTGACTGTGGGGAGGGGGCATTAGAGTGTAAGCTCCTCTGCACAGAGACTGATGTGACTATGTGGGGGGGCATTAGAGTGTCAGCTCCTCTGTACAGAGGCTGATGTGACTGTGGGGAGGGGGCATTAGAGTGTAAGCTCCTCTGCACAGAGACTGATGTGACTATGTGGGGGGGCATTAGAGTGTCAGCTCCTCTGTACAGAGGCTGATGTGACTGTGGGGAGGGGGCATTAGAGTGTAAGCTCCTCTGCACAGAGACTGATGTGACTATGTGGGGGGGCATTAGAGTGTCAGCTCCTCTGTACAGAGGCTGATGTGACTGTGGGGAGGGGGCATTAGAGTGTAAGCTCCTCTGCACAGAGACTGATGTGACTATGTGGGGGGGCATTAGAGTGTCAGCTCCTCTGTACAGAGGCTGATGTGACTGTGGGGAGGGGGCATTAGAGTGTAAGCTCCTCTGCACAGAGACTGATGTGACTATGTGGGGGGGCATTAGAGTGTCAGCTCCTCTGTACAGAGGCTGATGTGACTGTGGGGAGGGGGCATTAGAGTGTAAGCTCCTCTGCACAGAGACTGATGTGACTATGTGGGGGGGCATTAGAGTGTCAGCTCCTCTGTACAGAGGCTGATGTGACTGTGGGGAGGGGGCATTAGAGTGTAAGCTCCTCTGCACAGAGACTGATGTGACTATGTGGGGGGGCATTAGAGTGTCAGCTCCTCTGTACAGAGGCTGATGTGACTGTGGGGAGGGGGCATTAGAGTGTAAGCTCCTCTGCACAGAGACTGATGTGACTATGTGGGGGGGCATTAGAGTGTCAGCTCCTCTGTACAGAGGCTGATGTGACTGTGGGGAGGGGGCATTAGAGTGTAAGCTCCTCTGCACAGAGACTGATGTGACTATGTGGGGGGGCATTAGAGTGTCAGCTCCTCTGTACAGAGGCTGATGTGACTGTGGGGAGGGGGCATTAGAGTGTAAGCTCCTCTGCACAGAGACTGATGTGACTATGTGGGGGGGCATTAGAGTGTCAGCTCCTCTGTACAGAGGCTGATGTGACTGTGGGGAGGGGGCATTAGAGTGTAAGCTCCTCTGCACAGAGACTGATGTGACTGGCTCAGTGTTCTCTGTGCAGCGCTGCTGAATATGTCAGAGCTCTATAAATAAATAAATAGATGTTCTGGTGTCATACGAACCTTTAATGTCTCTTCCCACTGAACTCCTGCGGCGGTCGGGGGGGAGGGGAGATCTCCTGCGGAGACACAATGTTAAATATATTATTCCCTTCAATTTCGGCTCCAAGTCTGTGTGAGATCTGATCCCTCATCGGAAACCAGAACCTCCCCGGGCCCCTCGGCCACCTTATGTGGAAGGCTTTGTGACCCGGGCACAGTCCCCGGACAGAGGACAATAAATTGGGGTACGTACGGGACGGTGAGGGACATTTCTAGGGGGGACATGCAGGCCTGGGAAGTCGACGGTCGAACAACGCATGTGTGGCACAGCTGCATTGCTGCGGGTTGCCATTGAGAATGAATTGTATGTGACGTGTGTTAGGGTGCGTTATAGGAACACATGTGTAACCGCAACGCACCGCAGCTAAATGTGTGACTGAGCCCCTAAAGTGAACCCACGCTTTCTCTAATGGCAGCCCTGCCAGCACCAGTGACCCCACCACCAGCAACAGGGGCCCCACCAACAGTAACAGGGGCCTTACCACCAGAAACAGTGACCCCACCGCCAGCACCATTGTCCCCTCAACCAGCACCAGTGACCCCACCACCAGGAGCACCAGTGACCCCACCACCAGCAACAGGGGCCCCACCACCAGCAACAGGGGCCCCACCACCAGCAACAGGGGCCCCATCACCAGCAACAGGGGCCCCACCACCAGCAACAGGGGCCCCACCACCAGCAAAGACCACCCCACCAGCATTAGAGATCCCTCCACCAGCACCAGTGACCCCACCACCAGCACCAGGGGCCCCAGCACCAGGGGCCCTATCACCACCACCAAGGATCCCTCCACCAGCACCAGTGATCCCACCACCAGCAACAGGGATTCCCCCACAAGCACCTTCCATTCACTTCTTTACTAACAGTCATTCAAAAGTAACATTTCAGCTGTGGGCGGAGCTGCCATTCAGTTTCGCAATATCGGGGGTTCAGAACGTTTTATAGTTGGGGGGGAGGGGGGATTCATTGTCATTGATGACGAGGACACTTTTTTTCATATTGTGGATGACAAAAGACGATTACAATATGAAACGTATTTCGGCCTCTGTGTAAAGGAAATTAGTCATTATAAATCTGTTTGGGATACAAACTTTTGTTGTCTGACGGCCCCTTCATGACCATAAAACTGGACGTCTGCGGATTGTACTGACCCCTGCAAAAGAGGAATACAGCAACGTGAATACAGATCAAGGCGGAACCCTGAAAGTGAACTTGTTACAAGCCAGAACCCCTCATAATGGGCACAGCGGGTGTACAGACCCGGGAACTCAGCACAGGGATGGTGGGAGCCCCTCATAATGGGCACAGCGGGTGTACAGACCCGGGAACTCAGCACAGGGATGGTGGGAGCTCCTCATAATGGGAACAGCAGGTGTACAGAACCGGCAACTCAGCACAGGGATGGTGGGAGCCCTTCATAATGGGAACAGCAGGTGTACAGACCCGGGGTGTGAGCACCTCTTGTCACCGCCTCCAGAGGGCGACAATGAGCCAGCGCCGGCAGTCATAGGTGCTCATTAGCACCCAATTAGGTTACAGATGTGCAATAGGTGAACTTACTTGTCCTCGTAGTGGCCGGTCTCCATTATATGCACTGAAAAAAAAAAGAGAGAGAACTTAGCACCCATTAACACGCGCAGAGCTACTGCAAGCCTTATTTTGACTTTCAGCTGGTGCGGAGCACTGCTATACAAATGAGGAACATGTGACCATCAGGAGCCCCAATAGACAAATCCTTGTACCTGGGATCTTCCTCCTGCAGCCGATACACAGGGCGGTGACGAAAACAACGGGAAGGAGGAACGCCACGGCCCACAGCGCAGCCACAGGGTCCATGGCACCGGCCTGGGAAGAGACATAAAGATGCATCACATCCTATGAAGAACATCTCCCGGCATGTGGCAGGTGATGAGCTCAGCTCAGTTCTACAGAAGAAATAGGCCCCGCCCCTCATTTCCTTCCCCATTCTGAGACAACAAACTGACGGATCAGCAAAAATTAGAACTTTGATTTTCCTTAAAAGATGAAGCTTATTTGGGGTATATTGTGCCCTCCCTGGTTCTACCCTGTCCTGAAATACTCTGCTGGAGGACTCTGCTCCTTCCTCTATAACTCTCCTCTCCTGAGATACTCTGCTGGAGGACTCTGCTCCTTCCTCTATAACTCTCCTCTCCTGAGATACTCTGCTGGAGGACTCTGCTCCTTCCTCTATAACTCTCCTCTCCTGAGATACTCTGCTGGAGGACTCTGCTCCTTCCTCTATAACTCTCCTCTCCTGAGATACTCTGCTGGAGGACTCTGCTCCTTCCTCTATAACTCTCCTCTCCTGAGATACTCTGCTGGAGGACTCTGCTCCTTCCTCTATAACTCTCCTCTCCTGAGATACTCTGCTGGAGGACTCTGCTCCTTCCTCTATAACTCTCCTCTCCTGAGATACTCTGCTGGAGGACTCTGCTCCTTCCTCTATAACTCTCCTCTCCTGAGATACTCTGCTGGAGGACTCTGCTCCTTCCTCTATAACTCTCCTCTCCTGAGATACTCTGCTGGAGGACTCTGCTCCTTCCTCTATAACTCTCCTCTCCTGAGATACTCTGCTGGAGGACTCTGCTCCTTCCTCTATAACTCTCCTCTCCTGAGATACTCTGCTGGAGGACTCTGCTCCTTCCTCTATAACTCTCCTCTCCTGAGATACTCTGCTGGAGGACTCTGCTCCTTCCTCTATAACTCTCCTCTCCTGAGATACTCTGCTGGAGGACTCTGCTCCTTCCTCTATAACTCTCCTCTCCTGAGATACTCTGCTGGAGGACTCTGCTCCTTCCTCTATAACTCTCCTCTCCTGAGATACTCTGCTGGAGGACTCTGCTCCTTCCTCTATAACTCTCCTCTCCTGAGATACTCTGCTGGAGGACTCTGCTCCTTCCTCTATAACTCTCCTCTCCTGAGATACTCTGCTGGAGGACTCTGCTCCTTCCTCTATAACTCTCCTCTCCTGAGATACTCTGCTGGAGGACTCTGCTCCTTCCTCTATATAACTCTTATGCTGGAGGACTCTGTGACATTCTAAGGCTGGTGGGTCACATTATATAGACTTTGGGCACAGTGCAATGCGGTTCTTCTCTGAGTTGACTCCTCAGGTTGGCGCGGAGTGATGAGGACATAGGAGCTTCCTCCGGGGAGTCAGTGACAAGCTCATCACCTGCCTGCAGATGGGATCACAGATGAAGAGATGAGATCTGCACCACATGTCACCTCGCCGCCTCCATTATATGAGATCATTACACGTCAGATAGTGACCCCGATTACCTCTGACTTTCGGGGGGGGGCGCCCCCCATTTTATCACCACCTCTGACTGTGGAGGAGGAATCTGTACTTGCCATTGTGATGATTGTACAGCAGGTGTGTTGGGGGAGCTCTGGAGCCGACGTAGGAAGGGGAAACGTTATATTGGTGTTAGGGGCGGCTCCCCGTCATCTGTTCTGGGGAATTCCAGAGAAGTCAGAAAAATGCTGAGAGAAGGACAGAGAGAGAGAATGAGAGAATAAAAGAATGGAAGAATAAGAAAATTAGAGAATGAAAGAATAAAAGAATGAGAGAATAAAAGAATGAGAGAATAAAAGAATGAGAGAAAGAGAAAATAAAAGAATGGAAGAAAGAGAGAATGAGAGGCTGAATGAATGAGAGAATGAGAAAATAAAAGAATGGGAGAAAGAGAACATAAAAGAATGGGAGAATGAGAGGCTGAATGAATGAGAGAATGAGAAAATAAAAGAATGGGAGAAAGAGAAAATAAAAGAATGAGAGAATTAGAGGCTGAAAGCATGAGAGAATAAAAGAATGAGAGAATAAAAGAATGAGAGAATAAAAGAATGGGAGAATAAAAGAATGGGAGAATAAAAGAATGGGAGAAAGAGAAAATAAAAGAATAGGAGAATGAGAAAATGAGAGAATAAAAGAATGAGAGGCTGAACGAATGAGAGAAAGAGAAAATAAAAGAATGAGAGAAAGAGAAAATAAAAGAATGATAGAAAGAGAAAATAAAAGAATGAGAGAAAGAGAAAATAAAAGAATGAGAGAAAGAGAAAATAAAAGAATGGGAGAAAGAGAGAATGAGAGTGCCACAGAAACTATCCATGAAATCTTTATTTTGCACAAAAAATGCTCAATAGAAGAATTCAACACATTTCAGAGCTCATCAGTCCCTCTCATCACGGCTGAGAAACAAAACGCAGAATAAAATACAAATCTCTCTCGGGTTATATACATTCTGCAGCACAAAGTATAAATGTGTTATCACATGAGAAGATGGAAATAAATAAATATGATCTGACTGATAGGTGACGCTGTGTACGGGGATCGGGGTGCACGGACTATAGAGTATAATGTGAAATAAAATCAATATATGATCACAACGTAATGCCGGAATTGTCTTCTGACAGTGTAATTGATGATCGAACAATAATAATGAAATGATCAGTATAAGTAAAATAGAAGATGATTGCGGTCTCTGAGAATTACTAACAATGTCTGGGAAGAAAGTTGTAGTAAAGTACAGTTATCTGGTTGAATATTGTCAGAAAGAATAAATCTATCCCACTATCTCTCTCTTCCTCTCTCTCTCTCTCTTCCTCTCTCCCCCGCCCCCTCTCTCTTTATCTCTCTTTCTCCCCCATTCTCTCTCTTTTTTTCCCCCCTCTCTCTCTCTCTCCCTCTCTTTCTCCACCCCTCGCTCTCTCTCTCTCACCCCCTCTCGCTCTCTCTCTCTCTCTCTCTCTCACCCCCCTCTCGCGCTCTCTCTCTC